TATGTTCTTTCAGAGATTTTCTACTCCCTTGATTAAATGAATATGCAACAATTTGTAGATGTCTGGATGTTATACAGTAGCAACATCAAGAGAAATCTCCCTTCTGGAATAAGGGGAATATGTATGTTATGCAGAGAGGCTAGGCAAGAATTCATACTGATTTTGGTTTTATTTTTCTGCTCTTCCTGTGTATGTCTGTTTTCCTCAATATAAACAGGTTTAAAATGCAATAAAAGATTAAAAAAAAATCAACATTTTAAAGAAACAGTTCAAAGAGGAGAAATTTCAGAGCACACAGAGCATACAGAAATCCCAGGCATTTTCAATGGAAGCTGGATGTCTAAACTCCCTGTCTGCCTTTCAGAAGTTTTTATCTAAGAGAAAAGTTAAAGATAGCCCTGCTTCTCTTTGCATGTTGCTCATAGGTCATGATTTCCTGAGAGAAAGGAAAATTGCAGACTTTATTTGAAATGATCATATTACAGACCCTGTCCCTTAACTCTTGAGGAGAAAAAAAACAAGGTTCATGGTAATCATACAATAATCCTGCTTGCAATTTTTGCTGGTCTTCTTTATGTGATAACAACTTAAGACACAACAAGATTCTTTTTCCCTGTGATTTAATAATGAGAATTGGCAGCAGGGAGCAATATAGATCAATAATATATTATTTTTTTTATCTATGTGGCCACTTCCCTTCTCTGAGTGTGGATTAGATTGGGCCATGTCAGCTAGGCTGAATGGTCAGCATGTTTCTAGATGAGCAAAATGTCAGAGTTGCATTTAGGAACTAAAAAACAAATAAATATCAGAAAATAGAGAGAAATTAAGAAAAAAATTATAATTTAAAAGCTCCGGATGTTAATGAGTTGCCTCCCTCCTATCCTGTGGGAATAATGTAACAATCTCTAAGGCAGCAGCTTGTTTCTAATGTTTTTTTTACACTTCAGCTGTAGGATTACTTTTACTTTTCAGTGTCACTGGTTTTCTAATAACTTGGGGGAGTTTGTACTTGAGAACAAAACTCAGATCCAATGTGAAATTGTATTCATTTTCTGTCTTTACAACAATGACAGTAAAGATCTAAATACAGCTTTATTATTTTCTAAATAACAGAAACCAGCAGGACCAGCAGCACAGTAGCATCACTGGGTGATAGGTATCAGACAAATACTTTAATGGGAAATTTGATAAGGCTCTTGGAGCATATTAAACTGAGGAGTAGGGTGCTGCTATTGGTTAAAATTGTATCTGAGCAGAAATTATCAGGCTTATTAGAATTTGATATCTGTAAAATATAATGGGACAGCTGCTTGGCAGCATTATTTGCTTTCCAGTTAAATAAAACTATGACACAGGACTCCTGCTATAGATATGCATTAGCTTTGAGATAAATTTCTAGTATTGGATGCAATGAAATACACTTGCCCTAGATTTGCTTTTTATGTGCATGTATAGAGTTGCAGTAAAGAAAGCAGCGTGCCCTGTCCAGGGCCCTGCATGGGCTGGGGAGGGGGCTGAAGCATTCAGTGGCACTCCTCTCTCTACCTGTTGAGGTCTGTCTCTGCTCCACTTCAGTCCATATATTGCTCTCCTGGAGTTTGAAGGTGGAGGGAAAAGGGTTTAAATAGCAAGAAACCTTGTAAGCTTTCTTCAAGAAGAGAAATAATTTCAAGCAGTTTGTTTCATGTATGTTATTTCAAAATGCTTTAAATCAGTGTGGTGACGCTGAAGCCATGGAAATTGGACTGGTTTACACCCATTGCGGATGCAGCTAGCTAGTTAGTTTAGAATTACGTTCTGCTTTCCATTATAGTGATATGGAAAACTAGTAGAAATAAATAATTTTTTAAAAATCAAACTACAGAGACAAAAATAAAAGATTAATTTTCATAGTGATTCTTATTTGCAGCACAGAGATGACTCTAGTGGCATCGTCAATATTGGACTACATCCATGAGGCAAATGACTTAATTTACTTTCTTGCTTGAGACTATATCCAGAATAGAGATGCATTTTTCTTAGCTAGATCATATGAGCAAAGACAAAGCGCACAGATTTTGTCTCTACCATATTTCCTTCCCTCTCACCATAAGAAAAATTTCAGCTAGCCTCCAGACATACGACAGTCCCATCTCCCCTCCTCCTGAATCCACTTGGCAGCTGCAAGAGTTAAATGTGGGGGGGTCAAGTGTACCAGTCTAAATGAATCCTTTACTTGTCTAAGTCCTACAAGCCTGCCCACCAGCATGCCTGTTGATCAGAGAGCTCGGGAAAAACACCTTCTGTCTCTCCAACTTAATAAAAATGTTTAGAATATCCTGCTGGGAAATTGCTACTGTACCATTTGCTCAGCTGCAGATGGTGAATTGTCATATCCTGAACTTGGCCTTTTTGTGAACCTTGAGGTTTATCCCAGGAGGAACAGATCCTCTGCTTCAATGCAGTTATGTCAATTGACACCTGCTAATAGGCTGGTTTGTAGTAAACTCTGAATTTGTGGATTACTATCCTCCTCCTAAAGCCAACCTTGCAACAGCTCAGATGTTCCTAATCCAAGGTGAGGCCACCAAGGGTTTGAAGCAAATCCTTCTTGCACACTGTGAATTTGGCTTTTTCTACATAGGTGGGAAGGAGTGCAGATGGGATGTATCTCTCTTTTGGGCCACAAAAGCAAGATAAGAGAGGACTTGCAGTTCTCTAGATCTTGCCTATGCAGGGGCATTTACCAGGGTTTTCTCACAGCTGCTACCAGGGGCTCAGATTCACACCGACACCATCCTGAGTGTGGTCCCCATAGCAAAGCGCTTAAGGTCAAGGCAAAGGACAGGAGGGAAACCAGATGGAAAAATGACTTGTTCATGCTGCTATCCACTTGCGTTAGGATTGGGACCCATGGAGCTTACACAGTCTGAATAGCCCCAGGTTCATGGCCCTGTGTGATTCAGGTCAGCCGATGCTCTAATCACTCAGCTACAGATGCCGTCTCTCCAAGTCCCAGGAAATATTTAATTAGCTGTACAATGCAGAAGCAGCTCCCAAAGGAAAATTCCTCTGCAAAACAGCGATCGACTTTGTGCTAAAGTACCCATGGGGCTGTAGCGCAGACGTGTCTGAATCCCGGGCCTGGAACAAAGGGAAAGGATCTCCCGTGCTCACAGTGCCCTGGCACAACCCTCTCCCTCCTGTTTTGACCCATGGGAATCTTTCCCAAAGCAAGCTTCATCAATATGGACAAAAAAAAAAAAAAAAAAAAAAAAGTTAGGCAGTTAGGCTTGACAGAGTGAAACTTTGCACACTAGTTCTCTCTTTTTAAACTGTAATAGTTTAAAAGGTTTCTTGTGATTTTGAACAAGCTAAAACAACAAGAGCTCCTTTTTGTGGTGTACATTGGAGAGGGTCTCCATGAGGGCACTTCTAGTGGAGGTGAAACAGTCTTGCTGACTGCAGGAGCATTTTTCCAGGGCAGGGAAACTTCCTTTTTAAGTATCTGGTGTCTGATGTCTGGGCACCAGTCATGCCACCCTGTCTGCTCCCAAGTCCATGGCAGGGCTACAACATGGCTACACTTTGTCCCCTGGCTTGGGATGGCAGTGCCTGCTTCTGCCTGCATTCAAGCCCACGGTGGGATGCCCCTACACTCTCCGTGCTGGATTTGTAGACAACAGGACAGTGCCTTTCTCCCCCTTACTGGGGAAACCTGTGGCTCCAGACAGCATTGCTTGAAAACACACAGGGAGGAAAAACCATACCCAAACTCGGGCCTTTTGCCCCTGCATCCAGCCATGGTCTGCCCAGCTATTGGGATTTTCAGGGAGTGGAGAGGAGCTAGGAAAGCAGTAAGCATTGCTGCATGTCAGGTAGCCCAACTGCAGAGTAGAGAATGCTGCTCTGCTAAAGGGACAGAGATGGGTTAATGCTCTGTGAGGTCTAGCTCAAAAGGAGAGGCATCCTCCACTGGGAGACATCCAGAATTTGAAGGAGAACATCATCTCAAGAAGAAGCTGAATAGCCCAGTTTCTCTTGGTGCATACACTAGCTTTTTATCCTGTCACTTACTCACTGCAAGGTCTCAGCCCACTCATGCCACCTCTCTGGCCTTCCCTGGGGTAAGAGCAGTCACCCATCTCTTTTGAGTGCTTAGGGTGCCAGCAAGGGGAGACGCTCCAGAGACTCACCAGAAATAGCAATGAGGGTAATTTTGCAAACCTGGAGAGACTGGAATGAGGTGTTTTTAGGAGAAACCTCCTTTTCTTGCCTCATTTCTGGCTAGGGATATTTGGAGTTGGTTCTTGGGCCTTTTTAAAGCCTCAGTCCTTTCTGCCATGACACGTCTAAGCTGGATTCACTCCAGATTCCTAATGGTGGTCACTGCACCACATGGAGTCCTTAGCACTGACTGACCATTTGCACTGAAACCGTCTTTGTAGCTGGAGAAAGAGACTCAGACAGGCCAGCGTCGGCTCTGCTCTGCAAGCCCCTGGGGAGAGTCATAGAGACCTTGTGGCCCTTGGAGATGATCCTTTCACACCTTCAGTGGGAACACCAGAAAGTTAAAATTTTTGCCAGGACCACCCCCTCTCTGTACCCCCA